GGCTGATCTGGAGGTCATGTGGATAAGTAATTGCTTTATGTTCCAGTTCCATATTCCTTATCATTAAAACTTTAATTTTAAATTAGATTGAGAATTTTCTACAACTTCTCCCCTTTTCCCCACACCATCCAATTGGGATGTACGTCCAAACTCCCTCCCAAGGGTTTTTGCCAGGAATCCCTGTGTAGTTTCAGCAAAAAAGATTGCTAATGACCCTGATGGGAGCACTAAGCAAACAAAACTGTTCCCATCCCAGATCACCAATTTCAGCCACAGTGTAATTCGCTCATATTCCAGATAACGCCTTTACCATTGGCCATTGCAATCTCTCTTAACTTTTCAACTTCGTGAATAATTAAATGGGCAGTGATCTAGTCTGGGGTTACTACTCTTGGAGACACTGGGAAGGGTTCTCCACCCTGCTCCCTCAGGAACAGTCAAGAAGCCTAGTGATTTGGCGTTAGGTACAAAATGATACACGTAAGTAATAAACAGCACATTATCTCAAGTATTTTGACTGCAAGGACCAAAACTTTACAATAAATTACATTAGGGATGCACAGTACGTTCCTTATGCTGTAAAATCTGGAAAATACAGCGTTGCAGAACTTTACATTCAGAATACTTAGGGTATATGCACAAATACAATAGCCACCACAAAAACCAAGGACTTCTTGATGCTGAAGTCTGTGCAGAATACAGAAAACATCAGAAATTATAGGACCAGACCGGCAAATAACATAAAATGTAATATTGGCATGCTTGGCAGGGATACCGGGCTCTTATAAACTGTATTTTCATGCCATCAACTGATAACGTTGGACACTACTGAATAAAGTAGGACATAGCCCCACGTCACCATCACGCTGCCAAAGGGAGTCAGCTGCAATGGGCAAAATACTTCATTAATTGGGAGCAGAAAGTTGGCCTAACATTTACAATAATGTGAGGAAAAAGAGGTTGCTGTTGAGTTAAGCTTTCCCATTCATAGCCTGAAAGTCTTGCCATTCATTAGGGAGAGCTATTTTAAACCCATACGCTGTTGGCAACAACATATAGATACAAAATTTCTGAGGTGGGTCTTAGAAATGTTTAGGAATTCACAAACTGAAAAACCATGAAAAAGCTTACTCTTGGTCACCAAGATTACCTACAATTTCTTCTGATGAGGACTGTTTTTCTGGTTTAAACAAGCGTTTTGCTATTTTCTTGTTGTATTCTTCTTGGTTTTCTATTATCTCATGCATTTTTTGTGTTGCATCTATTAAAATTTCCTCTCTTTTGTCAGAGTACCTGTTTCGAACTTTAAGACGTTACACTGGCGACATTAGGTAAGCCCTTCTGAAGCGCAGTTAGTGCCCGTACGCGGAAGGCTGTACCACAGCTCCACGTCCTGCCTGAAGGCTGTTGCCCAGCAAAAGTCATGGCAAAGAGATGGAACGAGTTGTGGTTCCACACCAAAGCACGCAGTCAGTGCTGCTCCCAGCAGCTCCCCGTAGCATCTTTACAACCCATGGACACGCATACGCCCTTCATACAGCCACAGTTCCACAGGCAACCCGGATTCATGGTTGCCTTGGGTTTTGAATGGAGCGATCTTTATGGAGACACGTATGTGAGCTTCAGACAAGTGATAATTTCTCTAATAGCTCAGAATGCCTTTTAACAATGTTAAACTTTCAACCATCTTTTAAACATTTCACCTTTTTAAATTAAAAAGAACACTGGTAGATACTTTTTTGACACAAATTTAAAAATTTTGAAATACAGATCTGCATATAGACACACATGTATGTATATGTATTTTGCATTTGCAGTTTAGGAATTCCCACCTGTCAAGCATCTTCTCTTTCTGCATTTCGAAAGAAAGCAGCGTGGGTTTTTTCCTGGTACTGTTTTTCTTTCTGTGTAACAAGAAAAACTAATTCATTGAGCCCCACCTGGGGTCCTCAGTCCTCTTTCACGCAAATAAAATTGTATTTGACAGTTCTCAAACATCCAGTGACAGTAGCATTACATTTTTATGTACTATTCTTCATACTTTATAGAAATCAGAATGCTCTGGTTTATTGTCTGTTACAGTATTATATAAAATTTATTTAATCTGAAATCAAAATGACAATCAACAATGACAACTTATCCCTGCTGAAAAGTAGCATAACTACTAAAGCTGCTGGACAGATGAGTTGGCTGAAGGGGAAGAAGCAGCAGAGAAGGAATTCTATTAATGGAAGGAGGAGTGAAAAACACAGAACAAAGCTCAGGAAGGTCTTATAGAAGATTCATGGAAAAAGTATATAAAAAAAAAAAAAAATCTCATACTGCTTCTTTGTTTAACTGTTGCTGCTGAATGTATAGCATGTGGGACAAACTGGTGCCAGACTTAACTACAGAAAATTGATAGCAGCTGTACTTTAGCAGAGTTTAGGAGTAACTACTTCCTGACTTGCGTATCTGTGTAAAATATCTCCATGCACAACTTAGCTTAATATATTCTCCAACAGATCAAGCATATCAAGTCAAGGAACCTGAAAGTGTTTATTTTAATTTACCACAAACGCATTAGAAGTAAGCCACCATTTGTTATTCTTGTCAGTTCTTTATTGGTTTTCATCCTAAAGACTAGCACATTTACAGCATACGTGGATTGGATGAACTAGAATATATAAAACAGTAGCCATATGTTTATGATATATTAATACTGCCCAAAAACAAATAAATAAAAATATTTCAATGCACAAAGCTTGGCAAATACAGTTCTGTTGGGACAAAACAGTGTTGTATTATACAATAATTTTACATGTATAAATGAAACAAAAGGCAACTGTGCTGTAGGTACTTTCACAGAACATACACAGAACATACTTGGCAACAGTTTTCTTTTTTTACCTTTGTATGTTTTATAATTTAAAAAATGTACTCAAAAAAGAACATTAGACAGAACTTCGTTTTACAGTAATCCTTAAAATTTGCCTCTCCTGTGCAACAGAAAAGCTTACTTCACCCTTGTGAAGCATCCTATGTGGATTTCAAGTTTCACAGTTTTTCTTTTTTGATGAACTGCTCGAGATCTTACTGTCCATTACGCCCTTTAACAAGCCCGTCGATGTGCATGTGCTGACAATGTCGTATATATAAAATGTTAGCCGGACAACAATGTTTTACATGTAAGCATACTGAAATCAGAGTATTTTAAACAAAATAACGCAGTACTTGAGACTGGTATTCCACCACTTTAAAAAGGTGAGCAAAAACCATGCACATACAAAATTCGGCAACGTTTTCTGGTTACATTGGTATACAAAATAAATAAAGGATCGCTAAGCTCTAGAGTAGATCTAATGATTGTTGGCCACAGTCTAAGAGAGTGGCTCTGCTAATTGTTACAACAGACCTCTTGTTATTTTCTTCTGAAGCTGAACATTGGAGGATTTTTAGTGTAACAATACAGAACTTAAAATATAATTAACTATGTTTGAAATATACAAAATAAAATTATCAACTCATAAAAACTAAGGGATATAAAGAGTATAGTTTATACAAAAATAAATGTAGCATTTAATAATGGGCCAGGGACTGAAGGTTGAGCAGAACTAATGGAGTAACATGTCTAAAGAGATCCCATTGAAAACTACTTCACCATGCATTTGTTTACACATCAGCAATAAAATAAAATAAAATAAAATCCACACTTATTTATTAATTGGTAAACTCTGTTCACCAATTTCCAAGGGATTATTCTACCGTAGATGATTTCTTCAGACCTGGCATAGGTACTACAATACATTGATTTTGCACAGAATTCAGCGTTTTGTTATCCTAGAGAGACTGAAATAATGGTAACAGCCTAGGTCAGCAGAACTCTCTGACCTGACTTTGTGACATGCTGCTCAGTGTTAAACTGCAAAAAGCAAAATGCAAGAACTGCTAGACCTGGAACCCCCAAACCTACATGGGAGCAGAATGAACATGACTGATTGATAGAGCAGTGACAGCACAGACAAACATCAGTGAGAGGGAGAAAGAAATCAGAAAACAGCCATATACTTACCTGGCTGTTGCTACTCTCACAAGAATAAATGAGCAGATTTTTCTATTCTAAAGCTTATATCCTTAGAAACCAAGAAGGAAAGGGCACAGTCTGCTGAACAAAGCTAGCTAAAGATTACTTAATCCTGTTAAAATTTGGAAATTAATGTTTAGCTGCTTTTTAAAAGGTATATTAGCTTCAAAGGCATTCTTTGGGAGATTATTTCCGAGAAGATCTGTTGAACATTTGTATCAAATGCTATCAAACTGATCACCTTAGTCATAAGCTAGAACACATCCGAGGTTTTCACGCATTAGCAGTAGCACATGAGCAGTTCCTTTCTATCAACATGGGACATTGCTACCTTCCTCAGAAAAACCCTGGAAACAGTCATACTTCCCCCCCAGGATTCTGAACATCTGCCCAGGTAAAATGCAAAGGTAAATAGAAACCAATTTTGGTTACGGAGCAACAGGGATGCGTTGGGCACTTTGAGCATTTTTATATTGACATACAAAATTGATACGGAAAAAAAAATCAAACACTAATCAAAAAAATGTAACCCCCGAGATACTAATGCAGATACAATCCAGAAGTGATATAAAAAGCTATGGGTAAAAATGTGTTAATATACAATACCATGGAACATACTGAACATGTCACAAGCAACATTAGCAACTTGCTTGTTGCACTTGCCTTATAGTTTGAAGGGGCAGGGGGAACTGTTGCTGGCATTAATGGTTAAGCATCATTATGTTTTTGAAACATTTTTTAAAATCAGTTAAGATGTGTGCCCAAGTCCTTATCTGCTGAAGACGACAGGAATTTGTTTTATTTGGACAGAGCTAGAAACTAGACCTCATATGCCTGGCCTTTTATGTATTGTTAATTTCATATATGAAGATGGTGTCCTATATACAGTAAACCAATTTATACTCCTGGCTTTTACTGTGCTGATTTTTTTTTTAAAGTTAAACTTCTGTTTCTTGATTGTAACAATGCATTCTACAGTTATTAGACTGTCTAGGATCCAATCCCTTTTTATTTACAACTTTTGAGTTTTACTCCCAGTTTTAAAAAGTTTATGAAAAGCTCAATCTCAAGTCAACTCAGTATAAAAAGATGTTATGTGAAACAGCTGCCTAAATGCTGTTCCTAGAGTCCTTGCCCATCCAGGAGGTACCTAGCTATTTGCATATAGGTAATTATTAAGTAGCACAGTATCTGTTCATCTTACATACACTGAAGGCTATTTAAACGGGCAGAGAGTCATCACACTATTCTCAAGCTAAGGTGTCAGAATAATTGTTACTATAGATTCCAATTCTGTAAGTAACATGCTCTGTATAACCTAGCGAAACGTACAAAAAGGTTATTTATCTCTTCTGGATGACAAAATCATGTATTAATCTAGAGTGTATCCACGTGTTTTAATGGAACAGCAATTAAAGGACATAGTATGCTTATGTTTCAACTTTTCCATAAGTTCCTTCTGGAGGCCTGTAATACTTTGGGAAAGCCTTCAGTTGCAGGGAATTAAATGCATACTTGCGACATCCAACATTCTTCATTGTATTTTCTCGCCGACAACCCTCACTGGGGAAAAAAAACAAGCACAAAAAATGACAGCAGTAAAAAGGAAAAAAAAAAAGACTTAAACTAAGATGAAATGAACTGGTTATTTTATAGCATTAACAGAAAGTTGGTTATATTTAATGAGCGTTTAATTAATTTGCCACTGCAAATATTAAAAATGATGACTCATCATACAATGCTATTAAGAAGCACACAGAATGGATACATGCTATGTCTGATTGCTAGTTTTGCATTTCTAAAAAGCAGCAGCACATCTACTGAAAAAGTTCTTTCATGATGGTTTCATGTATTTCAGGGTACACTGTTGTGGAGTTCACATGCCGCTTCATTGCACAAGGGATCCCAAGAGATTGCTTACAAGCAGTTCTGCTAATTCATTATATTAAGTATATTAAGCTGAAAAAGAAAAACTGCTGTTCTCTCAGTAAGAGCTTTAAATAATTTTATTTTTCCCTGTATGTCAGTATTATCAGTACTTACTTAAAGATTAGAGCTGATACAAAAATAATGACTTTCCAGTTATCTCTGCATGCATAAATTGACTTGAAAACCAACATAGTCTAAAAAAAAAAATCTTAATCATGAAATAGCAGCTTTGTGTGGGTGCAAAAAAGATTGGCTGCATTGACAGTCATCACCCCAATGAAACAAAGCTGTGCAGAATTTAATTTTTACCCAATGTTTTGGTGCAACTGCCCCACATTACAAAGAGGTTCTGTGCTACTATAAAAAAACTACTCCAGTTTTAAGGCTTCTTTACACTTGTAAATCTGCTTCAGAGTTCCTTTGATTATATCCAAAAACACACATACAAAGAGGAAGCACTATCTTTATAAATCAATTTAGGCTTGCAGGAGAATATCTTTCCCTGATAGAGAACTGAAACCTAAACAATGATTTAATACTAGAACTTCATGGCAAAGTGTACAATACACCATCTTATGGTGGAAATGTGACGTTATTCCTGTCTGGAGATGGCTGCAGCATCTATCAGGTAACCTGTGGTCATCTGATTCAAAAGGAGGGTTTGGATTCTAGTTCAGTTTGAAAGCTCTCTGCTCTTACTGACCTCACCATTCCTCTAATTTTGGTTAGTTAAACTGACTGTTACTGTGCTCTGTATGTACCACCTCATTTGACTTCATAAGACATTGTAACTTTTTGCTTTAAGAAAGAGTTAAGTAAGTTTGAAATTTGTCTCCGGAGCACATTCTGTGCCTGCCTTTTATAGAATGGATTGTATGTGATGACACTATTTTTATGGCATTGTTTTGTGTTTTACAGAATCCCCCCAAAGGCTGCTGCAGTAAAATAGATTAATCAAAAATTTGCACAAATTATAGTTCAGATTACTAATAAAACCAGTAAGTTTAACTAGCAAATATGGAATGCCAGATGAGCATTTTCACTCAAAAGTGAATCATTCTGTTCATAATTCATTCCACTGCATCTGGTTATTGCGCATGTCCCTCTATGGCACAGCTGGGTCACAGAGATGGTGACAAAGATGTATTTCACACACCACTTCATGTGCCATGTTTCTTCTGCTGGAGGCACATAAGCAGTATGCACTACAGCATTTTAAATCTGAACGCCTGAACGAAAATACAGACCAAGCTAAAAAAGATGTAAACTTGTCCCCATCAAAGTTTAAAAAAGAAAAAACTACATTGTTTTCATAAAGCCTAGGCTTTCATTCTAGATGAATTTAAGGGTGGTCTTACTGCAACCTTAATGACTGTCATCATGAGCAAAGCATTCATAGTTTATTTAAACAGATTAATAATCTCAGGGAGTTCAGTGAAGATACTCCTACTAAAGTTACTTTCACATCTTGTTAGACTGAACCCAGGACACTCATCACATTGCACTATCAAGGCCACAGTCCAACCTGACATTTGTTCATTTAGTAAAAAGGAAGATTTTGGTACCCATAGCAAATGAACAAGTGTTAATCAGGAAGAAGAGATGATCTGTACAGAGACACAGTGGTAGTAGATATCAGCACAGGACATGGATATGTCCAATACCATCATACCATGATTTTAAATCTCATCAGCAATAAGGCTTTACCTAAATGCATTGCAACTAAAAATAAATAGGATACATCTTAAAGATACACATATATATATATATGTGTATATATTTAAAAAAAAGTGTATGTATCTTTCTGGTTTTTTTTCTTCTAAAAACAAAATTGGAAGAATAGTGAGGAAAAATACCAGGAGGTAGTGTACTGTACAGTCTGATTTCATGAAGACACAAATATAACCACATACTTTTTTTTTAGTTAGAATAATCACCAAATTTAGGATTTTATTCTAATTTTTATTCTAACTGTGCTTTTTTCTTTTTTTAAGCTTACCTCTCTCAGAAGCTTTCAAATTCCATTAAAATTTATGATAAAAGCTATAGCTACCTATGTTTTTTGAGCAAGTTAATAATAGTAGAAAATAGAAATCACAGTACTAGAAGAATTCTCCTCAGAAGCCCAATTTTGTGTCATCTCAGGCACCAAGCGAAGTAAATCCCTTTATGAATTTAGTAAACTACATTAAATGAGGTTAGGTTTTTTGATCAGCTATTGCTATTGACAAGCTCTGCCAGACCACTGCGTCAACAAAGTCTTTCAGTTTAAATAAGCCTCTTCCAGTTTGGTGTTATATATAAATGATGATCAAATTTCATCTGCAATTATTCTGCGTGACTAAACTAGGTAAGCTGCTGTAGTCTCACCACTTAAATAAATATTAACTTACCATCATTCGTTTATCTCTAAGTCACTATCAACATAATAATTTATTAAAGCTGTCCAACACTTAAAAATGGAAAGAACAGTAATATTTAGTCTAGTGTAACTAAAACAAAGCCCAATGGAAAACCTCAAACCCACCTACTAAAGGAGCTAACTGATACCTCCCTCTTCTTGCCTGAAATATTAAAGACCAATGTCTTTAACTTCTAGGATGATAATGACCCGGTTTCAGAATAAGTTCTATAACAGAGCACCTGAAACAGATAATGGATCATTAGCAGGCTAATGCCAATTACATCCTCTTCCTAACCACAAATCATTCTCTTTTTGTCTTCAATACATTACAAAATGCAGATCTACAAATAGAATAAAATAATTCTGCATGCAGCGCACCGCAAGTTGTTTTTTGAGTGGGTACACTAGTCTATTGGCACATACTTAACCATGAGAAAGGAACAAGACCATGGTTCTACAAACTGTTCAGTAATGTAATTTGGGTATTATGCTTTGAAATGAAAGTAGAAATTTGTTTATTTCTTTAAATACATTTCTTAGAATTTCTTATAAACCCCACCCATGTTTTTATTTTTCTCTTCATTCCTCGTAAAAATGAAAGGCAAGATTAGCATACACCTTAAATATACAAAAAGATACAAATTCTTTTCAGACAGAGTTCCTTTCTCTGGAATACATGAAACAAGTAACACAAAACTATATTTGGTAAGAGATCTTCAGGCCGGCTAAAGTAACGAGGTAACAGGCCAATGTCAGACTATGTTACAAGCACTGAAAGCAGAACAATAATTTAAAGTTTAAATACAATTCTTTTTGATAAAATAATTTGATGTATATTTACAGTTTAGTACAACAGAAACGTAAAATTGTAAGGCATAATAATAATTCTTGGCAGACAATGCTATGACACATTCCTTTGTCCAGCAGGTACCAAGTGGCAATACACATTCAAGCACTTTTTTGTTTTTGTTTTTTTAACCTTATCTTCACTTGCAACGTAATCTGGCCACCAGGTATGCTATGCTCAGAAACAGCCACACAATCAGTAAATTGGGGCTGAGAGCTAGTAAAGGAATAGAGTAGAGGAGGCTGGGATCTAGTCTGAAATCTCGGATGGGCACCAAGCCACTCAGGTTCTTCTGGGTGACTACCTCCCGTGTTCCAATGCTGTGAAAAGGAAGAAGGTTGGGAGGAGGGAAAATAAAACAGAAATGAAGACGGACATGCAAATGAATGTATAAAAAGAGATGGCAACACAGGGTGGTCAAGAAAATGAGAAAACATGGAAGAAAGCACAACAAAACCAGAAGATGAAGTAAAGAAAGAGTGGAAAAACATCTCAAAAATATGTGTCAGCACAATTACAGAAATAAGGAGAGGGAAAG